TCTCATGTGTTCTCCTGATTCCATGTATCATCCTGTGAGATGGGGGATATTAGATGAACTCAGACAGCTCTTGATTTACACTCTAATCCCTCATATTCATTTGTACAGTCCATTTGTACAATCCATTTGTACAGTCTCCGTGGTGTAGTGGTAAAGACACTCGCCTGGCGTTCCGCGAGCGCTATGTCATGGGTTCGTATCCTGGCCGGGGAGGATTTACTGGGCGCAAATCCTTAACTGTAGCCTCTGTTTAACGCAACAGTAAAATGTGTACTTGGATGAAAAAACGATTCTTCGCGGCAGGGGAACGTATTCCAGGGACCTGCCCGAAACGCTACGCGTACTAGTGGCTCTACAAGAATGTAACAACTCTTGTTTTTATAAAAAAAAAAAAAAAAAAAAAAAAAAAAAAAAAAAAAAAAAAATATAGGATTGGGTAGCAGCACATTGCTGTGTGTGCCTAAATTTGTTTTAAAATAAAAATAAGTCATATAAGGAGAAAAGTAACAGCAGGTTGCAGAGGCAAGGGGAAATTCTCAGGGAAAACCATGAGATGGTGTGTGAAGAACTCAACAAGAGATTCCAAGGTCTTTGAAGAAAAAATACCCATTGTGGACACCAAGGCTGCAGGATGAAAGGTGATGAGGTCAAAAAAACAACACTTGGAAACACTAGATGCGACAAAACCGACGAGACAATGTAGCCATGACTGCCAAAGGAACTTTGCAAATACTCTTGTCAGCTGTTAACTAAAATGTTAAATAAATCATTTTATTTAATTGCCGGGGAGGATTTACTGGGCGCAAATCCTTAACTGTAGCCTCTGTTTAATTCAACAGTAAAATGAGTACTTGGTTGTAAAAACGATTTTTCGCGGTGGGGATCGTATTCCAGGGACCTGCCCGAAACGCTACGCGTACTAGTGGCTGTACAAGAATGTAACAACTCTTGTATATATCTCAAAAAATTTGAGACACATCTCCCAGAATTCTGGAGGGAGTGAGATCGCACATATCAATGTCTGTAGATCACACGAAGCTAATAAGGACTGAACAAAAATTACAAGAAGGCCTTAACGAACTCAAGAAATGAGCAGACTAATGGATGCTAGAATTCATTCTCGACAAGTGTAAGATAATGAAGATGGGAACGGGACAAACGAGGAGATGCCTACAACATGAATGGGAAAGCAAGTGCTCGAGTAGGAACAAGTTTGTAAAACTTGTGAGCATTCATGTAGCCTTCAAAAACCTGTATAAAGTAGCTTACAGGACATTATGTAAATATTCAATACCTAGGCTTCCATTCTTCCTAGGCTAGACAAGTACTTGAAACTACTGGTTTCAAGTACTCGTCTTTCAACTACTAGAAACTACTACTACTACTACTACTTGAAACTAAAAATTACTACTGGCAATTTAAACAGGGGTCTGTGACTGGCCCTGACCGGTCAGGTAAAGTTAGGGTATTTGATCTGCCACTTCAGAATGCCCAGTTCCTTCTTGGTAATGACATAACTGGGTACCAAATGAGGGAGGGAGGGGGGCATTTTTGACAAACCTCCAGCTTCCTGTCCTCGTTGTGGCACCTAGATACATAGTGCCTCTCGGGTGAATTTAGTGGCGCACCAGACGTCTCCCCCCTGCAAAAGGAGGTCCAAGAGGAAACCGACGGTGTTGTATCGGGCGGGGTGAACCCTGTGAGCGTTGTGGGTGATCTCGTGCAGTGAGGCTGCCCGAGGCTGTACCTGTTTTGTGCTGTCACTGCTGTGCAATAACACATCGTGATCATAAAGAGTAAAAACAAAAAAACACGTAGATGAATAGAAAGTTGCCTAGTGCCCCATAAATCTGTTCTCAGGTCTAAAAGTGGGTACTAGACTAGCTGGTGAGTGCATATGGTAAGTGATTACCAGTGCATAATTTAGTTTTATAATTAAAAAAAAAATGATTATTTTCTCTTGCATCTCTGTTACCCTCCTTTCCTATCATCCTCCCTCCAGTTCTCTCCCCCAGTGGGCATATCATGCTCGAGTAATGTTGAATCAATATTATTGATGCTGAATCAATGTTATTGATATAGACTCAATGTAGAGGATAGTTTTTGTTTTTTGTTTTTAACACATTTAGATACATCTTCATTTGTATAGCAACCCTAGACTATGTGAAAGGGAGTACAGTGTGTGCCAAGAACTAGCTATGTGATGCTAAAAGTCCCCATTACACAGGATGGTTAGTCATACAGATTATTATTAACATCTTTATTGACAGAAAATAATCATACAGAGAATTTTTAACACATTTAGGTACATCTGCATTTGTGCAGCTACCTTAGACTATATGAAGGGAGTACAGTGTGTCAAAAAGCTAGCTACCTGGTGCTAAAAATCCCCATCACACAGGATGGTTAGTCATACAGAGGCCTGTGATCAGTAAGTAGTCTGCACTGGCAGACTCTGGGTGCATTATGAGGATATCGTCATAAACACAAGAGTAAATAAAGTAGCAGTGATACTGAAAGTCCCCATCTCACAGGATGGTTAGTCATACAGGGCCATATGTTCAGTAGCCTGTACTGGCAAATTTTGGGTGCAATATGAGGATATCCTTAAGAACACGAGAGTGAATAAAGTAATTGCAAAGCTCCAGGTACCTCATGCCAATGGGTCTGAATGGTCTAATATCTGGGCATTCGGTGATGTAGCATGCAAACTCATGCCCCATTTTCTGCTCAGTTTGCATCTGGAGTGCTCAGGATTGGGAGATCCGTGATCTGTAGCCACCTGCCACAGGTAACAGTAACCCAACCTGATCCTTGCAACCACTGGTTGATACCTGGTTGATGGGGTTCTGGGAGTTCTTCTACTCCCCAAGCCCGGCCCCGGGGCCAGACTTGACTTGTGAGAGTTTGGTCCACCAGGCTGTTGCTTGGAGCGGCCCGCAGGCCCACATACCCACCACAGCCCGGTTGGTCCGGCACTCCTTGAAGGAAACAATCTAGTTTCCTCTTGAAGATGTCCACGGTTGTTCCTGTAATATTTCTGATGCTCTTGTATAGCATCAGAAATACCTGCTGAAGCTGAACCTGCTGAAGCCATAAACGCCCAACTCTGCTGGGATTTAAAATTCAGCTGGAAAAGAGCAAGGCAAATGGGAGGGGGGGGGGGGGGACCTTTGACAAGCCACCGGCTTCCTGTCCTCAAGGAGGCCACTAGTATTAGTGGTCCTCAGGTAAACTTAGGTTACAGTCAGTTCCTTCCATCCTAAGAAAAGGGATCTTATACCGCGATGATCTATATCTTCGGCTCACAACCGAAGATATAGATCATGGTTTTGCTCTCCGGCTATGACAAAGGCGGTTGTGTAAGTTTTCTTTCATCTGATGCATCTGTTCATCTAGCAGTTAATAGGTACCTGTGAGTAGAGCAACTATTGTAGGTTGCAGCCTTGGGAAGATCAGTATAGTTGGAATTGGGTGACCAAGTTCAAGTACGTTTATTGAGACAAGAAAAAAATACATCTCAAAGGGATGGAGTAGCTTAGGCTATTTCTACACCCCAACATTGGGTGACCTTGTTAAGTCTAAGAGGCTGCCTATCCCTGACTGTGGGAAAATCACTGAAGGTAAATAAAAGGTGTAACCCCAGAGATTTCCTTTCCTTGAAGTCAAATAATTTTTCATTATTTCTAATGCACAGTTTGGTTAACCCGTTAACGCAGCTCCTACTTGCTAAGCAACTTTTTCAGCAATTGTTAAATAAAATAATAATATTATAATTTCTAGGTCCTTTTGTTTTTTCCAATTTGCTCTGGGGTCGTATTGTTGAGATTGTAGTTATGCCCTTCATGCAAAGTCTCTAATTTTTTCAATATTTAAGAGCACTTGCTAGTCCTCAGACCATTTACGGAGTTGATGTAGGTAGTTTTGCAAGGACTATTATTTTTGCTATTTTACCAGAGATATTTGTGTCTTTTGCAGACTTGATGATGTGGATTGTAGTTTTCACATCAGTGTCGATGTCAAGTATATCTCTCTCTCACACACACACACACACTTGTGTCAAGTCAAAGTGTTATATGACAAAGAGTGCTGGGAAGACGGGACACCACGAGCGTAGCTCTCATCCTGTAACTACACTTAGGTAATTACACACACACACACACACACACACACACACACACACACACACACACACACACACACACACACACACACACACACCAAAAAAAAAAAAAATTGACCCCAAGATGGAGCCTTGTACTTAATACAGTACTCCACTCAACATTTTTCAATCTGCTTTATTTCCATTTTGGATAACTTAATTGTTTTATTCTTTCTAGTATTCTGCTGTTACTCTACGTACTTGCAATTTCAGTCTTTCGTGTGGTACCTTATCTAAGTTTTATAGAATGCATATACAGTATTGAAAGTTTTGTCTATGTAGTTCATTACCGTTTCCCAAAATGTGAGTAGGTTGTCTTAATCTTTCTTGTGTCGATGTATTGTAAATTCAGGTAATATTTACACCAATTAGAAATGACCTGACAAATAGTTGATCATTACAGTACGGTACTGTATTATGAGCACATTAATACTAGGTCCAATAAGGACCTAGTATTAATGTGCTAGGTCCTTATCACCAACCTAGCCAAAAACTATTTAAACAATACAATACAGTATAAACATATATAATAGTACAGTATAAAGCATGCTGATAATGAATAATACTGTATACCATCAAAATTAAAAAGCAGAATACAAAATGATGCATTGAAATC